TATATATATATATATATATATATATATATATATATATATATATATATATATATATATATAAAATTGCTTTTTATATCAACATAACATGCAATATATTTTACACAAGAACTTTTCAAATGAGAAATACAACAGAGAAATGAGAAATACAACAGAAACTACAAAAACAACTACTACATTGACATTTCACAGTGAATTACTTTCTATATACTCTACTTTTTATTGTCTTACATTAAACATAATGTGAATGGCTAATTCAGTCAATATCTTCAAGTCAGTCCAAGATAGCCAGATTGATGTTACCATACATAGTATAGTATAGGATACATTGGCATATATATTGATTTTCTTGGTTTGTCCATCCACTGACTGTGGAATGTCTTCCTACAGCTGGCAAACAGCTTGTTTTTGCAGCCAAATGTCACACATGTAGGCATTTTTACTGCATGTCTCAGTGGGAGTGGGGAGTACCAGCATGGCGGACGGTGGCTTCACTTTTTTCGGGCAATCAGCAATCCAGTGAATGGAAAGAGATCAGTGGTTTTCCCTCAGAGGGGAAAAGAAATCACTTGAAGCATGTGATTATCCAAACTGGAAGTTTGTTAGTTGGCCAGAAAAACAAAACTATTGGAATAAACAACTCTGCTTGCATCACAGAGGAGAAAACAGAGATGCAAAAACACTCTGATTCCATGTGTCAAGAATTTCTGAGAAACTCTGAAGGATTTTCTCAAAACAACATACCTGTGAATTTCAAACCCAACAACACACTTAGACAAAAACTGGTTCATCCTTAAGACAGAACACCCAAACCTAAGCTGAGTGTTGCTGATTATCCATTGCAGTGAGGACTGTACAGCCTCCTTTATTAGTGAAAGCAAACAATTAAACCAACGCAAGCCACAGCATGTAACTATGGCCAAGTCAGCTGGACACTTGCACCTCAACTATAAAGGACACACCTTTCAAACCAAAATGTTCAGATTTTGGACAAAGGGGACAAATGGTTTTAAAGAGGGTGAAAGAAGCCAAGCCATCTTTGTCAAAAGAGAAAAACCATCACTCAACAGAGGGGGGGTGGGTTGTTGGTTCAGCTTCTAACAAAATTACAGTTCAGTTATAGAACGCATTCCAAAGAAACTACATAAGCACTCCCATGATTATTCAAAAGATGAAATCACAAAGCCCATCCACAACAAAAGACTCCAATAATCCAGAAGAACAAGGGGCGGCCATTAAATTTGCATCCAACTTGGAGAGTGTTCAGGAGGATGGAGTGACAGAACTGACAAAGACTCCTGGATAGGTTTCGAAATGTTGTTGAAAAACTGAGCGAAAGTCCTGCTACCTTCCAATGTGAGCCTATCTGTGGTTGCAATATGACTGAATTTGATTTGCAATTTAGACAAAGTAGCAAATACATCTATATGTTAGATATGTTTGATGTTTATTTTTAAGTCAGGGAAAATAACTTTTTTTAATGAATGGAGTAGAAGTGGAGTAGAAATATTTATGTATAGAATAGCAATAGAATAAAAATAAAAATATGTATGATTACTCTGTGAAAAATAGTGTAGAATAGTGGCTCATTAAGATTCTGTTGTTGAGATTCAGTCACTCTACACATTACGGGTGTAGTTATATAGCACTATTGTGGTCATTATATTATTGATAAAGTAGAATAGATATCATATACCATGTTTGGGACACTAGAATGAGTTTACAGTGTGGGCAGTAGATCTTTATTAGTTGTACACATTTATACAAAGTTTATTATCTAGGGGTGGTTGTGGTCAAAATGGAAAACTCAATATTACTTCATAACAATATATTTTATTAGCAGGCATACATCTTGGTTATATGGAAGCATTTGTTCAAGGTGCTAACTTCTAATGGGTCAGATTTTAGAGATGGAGGCAGAAAATTATATAAATAGCGTAATGCGCGTGACTGTAAATGTTTGAATGTAATGCACAATCACAATATACATCCTATTATTCCCTTATTAATTGTTCAATTTGCTACCATATGTTAGTGTCTCTGTACCAAAGATTGTAGCCAACACTCAAATACTTTTGAAGATATGGCACATTAAATATTTCCCAACATTGTATTTTCCTCAAATTTTTGAAACAGAAGCCTAACTTTACACTTATCCCATTAAAACTATCCACATTTATAATGATATCTACTGTATTAAATCTCCAGCATGTGTTCTTATTGAAAAAACATCCTCTGCCTGGTGGCAGACATACCATTTGTATGGTCAGAGCTCAAAGACAAATAGGCCAATAATTAAAAATGTGTTATGTGCGTGACGTTTATGACACAAGCGGGTATAAACAGGTGCTGTGCTTGTAATAACCACTCCAAAGCTCCTTAAACATATTGAAATATTAGGAAATAAATACAGAAGTTGCGAAAAGCATTAAAAACCATGCTATAATGGCAAAAAATGTTGATTTTACTGCTCAAATTTACCCAGAAATAGTAGAAAAATGCAAAAAAAATAGTTTGAAGGCGGACATTATCGTAGGTAATGTTCATAACAAAATAAAAAAACTTGAATACAATAAAGGGATATCAGTTTAAACATAAATGGACCGAATAGTCTCTGTGGGACCGAAAAAAATACGTTATTTAAATTTTTTCCCGTGATAGATCACTTTTGTCACCCACATTACCCACTGGGTCGTATGCCCTAATATGACTCTATTATGCCAAGCCTTAAGGGCCGAGGCCTAATTGTCTCTTGGTTAGTTCAGGTTTCCGCAAAGTCAGTCCTTTAGGGTTGCTGTCCTGCAGGTTTAAAGGTTTCCCTGCTTCTGCACAGCTAATTTTCCTTGATTGCTGATAAACAGGCTTTTGCTGAACTGCAATCATCATAATCAGCTGTGCTAACGCAGGGAAACCTCTAAAACCTGCAGGACAGCGGC